TACCTTACGGCCCCCCCCCAAATAAGCGATGGAGGAAATTGTGGCAGCTACAATCAGTGTACGATAAGTACGCGATTCTTGCGGCTGATAAAAAAATGACTTGACTTTCGTATTGTGTCAAAGCCACGGCATCTTATCAGATGCGGTTTTATTGGAAGTGGTCCAGAGGATGACCATCAGATGAGTATGGGTGTCCAAGGAGTGGATGACTGAACAGGATCGGTCTGCATGATTGTGTTTACAAGAAGACTTCGTTGACATGCGTAATGTAGTTGACGGTATTTCCGCTATTGCTATGGACGCGATTGTTAGCTTTAGAGGAATAGGAGCCTATAAGGCGATGCCTACGACGCAGACTCTGGAACTGTTTCACAGCAATGGTTAGGTCAGATGGAAACTTACTAAAACACATCTGTATGAGACGTCTTATTAACTTGTTCTGCGTCCGATATTTTAGGTATACGCTGAGCGGTCGAAAATTGTAACCTTCAACGATTATACGCTTCTTGTCTTCGAAACCGTTTGGAATGGTACTCTTCTCGGGAGCTCCCGTCCCTGGACTTAGGCATCGTACATCACGTCCGACATATTTCCGACAGGTATAACATGGTGGCGGATCTCTTTTATGAGTGTGTCCTTGTTTCGGACACGATTGTTGGTGATGCTGCGGCTGAGAAACTAGGTTTTCTCATTGTATGTACAACCATTCGCTTCAAGTAGTCAACTCAACGTTGCGAATCCCAGTGACGTTATCGGTTGCGAAGTCTCCGATGGACACCCTAGCTTCCATAGTACCGGTTTCCTTCTGACGCAGGTCCTTCAGGGTATTGCCGATCCGGCATCCGCGCCACAGTCAGCTTGGAACCAGCCCAGAGTGCAGAGATTACACGAGTGGACTCATTCATGTCTGGCATTCCACCATGACAAATTGAACATCAGTTTATGTCTAACACTGGCCATTTTCCACATCCGGGTTCCCGCCTGGATCAAATCCATATGGGTTTGGTAGATCCTTTATTCCCATCTAACAATAAGGTCTATGTCTTGATCAAACTGACCACTATAAAAAAATGCATCCAGGCCGTCCCCATAACAAGCTTTAGTCAGCCAGTTAGTCAGCCTGCTATAAACCATGTACCAAGGGTACATTGGTTCCATCACCGGTGAGTAGGACAACGTGGAACATACAGCCAAGCGGTGGAGATGATGGCATGTTCAGTTAGTTCAAGAACTTGGTGGCTATGATATGAAGGCGATGGCTTTGACGCACGAACGCTATCGACTGCACGATCGGACCATTCCTGCCAGTATCACTGACCATTGGTGAGTTGAGTTCCGAGGTTTCTATTCAGGAAGACGGCAGTTGTCAATCCGATTCAGTCTACCGGTTGTTGCTTTCATACTTCGTAGCAAGGTCACACACTGTTCACCTTCTGCTTGCTTTCACTCAGCAAAGATCTGGCCGAAAACAGCCCTGCGACGCAGACGGTCCTCTGGTATGCAAAGCTTATATCCTAACCAACGCAACCCATGAAGGGTAACTCATTTATCGTAAGAGTATACCTTCCTTAAAACCATCTGGCAAGCTCGAGATGGCTCAGTGGTCAGAGCAGGAATTCACTGACTGGAAGGTCCGTGATTCGAATTCAACCACTGCAACTCGACTGCTCCTATCTAGACTTGGGCAACCTGGCAGTATCTCAGCCGTCGTGCTTCCTTCGAAAGGCATGACACCTACGCGCCGGATGTTATGGCTGAACGACTTCGAAGACTATCTAGCGTACCTCAGCATTGCTGATCCGATTTTTTCACAAGGCACGACCAGTGATTAGGAGACGCCGATGTTCAAACATTGACAACTTTCGTGCCGCCATGTATAAAAAGTGCTCAGCCGTAGCACCCTGTCGGTATGCAGCTGCCATGCCACCAGCAGGAAGCACGAGGGTTGGGATACTGCCAGGTTGCCCTTGATAGATAAACTGACATCAGGTCGACGCCAAAGGTGTCGGAGGCTATCAAAAGCTATCTTTGTCTTTCCGATTGAAGAAGTAATCCCATCTCCAGTCGCAGTGCATCCGTTGACTCTTGGGGGGAGGGCCGGTGCACGAAAAGCTGCAAGGGTCACTGATACTTCTCGGTTGCCCAGGCCGAAGAGTTTGGTTGGAGCACTCCACCTTGAACCTTCGACTTAAATCCCAAGCCAGAGCAGCGGGAGTATGTAGAGTTGTGATCCAAGACCCTTTCCCTTGCATCTGATTCAGTCTGACCCTCGAGACAGCGATTGTTAGATTTCTCGCCAGGGGTTACTGGCCGAGCCGAACATTTATAGTCTGACCCACTTGACTGCAGCGGATTGGCCTGACCAAATAGTGCACGGACTAAGGCTGCGTACATCAGGCATCATTGACACAGCAGCAGGATCTTTGATCCCAGGATTTCGACCGTATTGACTAAAGCGATGCGGTTGCCGTCAATCATTGGAAGGCCGGAGTGTCGTCCATAGAGCCGATCTTTTCTAACCAGTCTCTGCTTATTTTCGCTGTTTCCATATATATGTACATGCCTTAATGCCTTCACAATCCACAGAGGAGTGTGGTAATCCCAGTCTGGTTTGAAGTACGATAACTCGTTGTTCTTCGTCAGGATGCTCTTCATTGGTCTTCCCAGCATGCATAAAAATTGGGGAAGTGAGTTCTGGTCGGTGTAGTTTCGAGTGCAAGCTTTAGGTTGGGTCATGCGTCAGTGTTGAAGCTATTGTCTGGACCCTTACCGAACGCTGGGTCTTGACGACCGTCACCAGTGACAGAGGTTTGCAGTTCGAGGACACAATTTAGCCCTCTTAATACGTTAAGTTGCCATCCGCAGTCTACAATTCACAGGCATACGGCTTGGTCACCAGCTTAAAGCAGTGACCAGTATCGCTGACCATGGCTAAAGAACTGAAACCATCCCTAGGTATGTGTTCTGGAATCAAAGCGGACCTACAGGCCCCTAGTAACGAACTACTCTGCGGTCACTACTACTTCGTTTTCGAAGCATTTCGCCGCTAGATTACGCCTTTTATCCGACAGACTGAAAACCGCCTATTAAAGGCAACTCTGCTACTCAATCTCTGATGATATGTAAGAAGGGCTTTCTGCGCACGCAACAAAGAAACTGGGACTTATTGCGCTATGGCGGTTTGTGTACCTCTGAGACCAACTGAGCTATATTAGGGTTTCACTTCGAAAACCTCAGAGTTTCTCATACAAGTTATGTCATTGGATACAGGCAGGCGATTTGCTCCTTAAAAACTCGTACTGTATTAGTACGCCGACGACCATCCGCCCCTTGCGGCCAGGCTTTTGAACAAAATACTTTGATTGAGGATCCTAATCATTTCTCTGTCTATGTGTGCGCCTCCTGACAGCTTCCCAGCCGCATAAAATCATGAGAGTCAGAACAAAAAAACAACATACCGTCACCTCGGCCGTCCCGTGATGTCGTCCGCTGGATCACCTTATTCTCTGCATAGAGCAGGCCAGGTAACCGAAAACACGTTACTGATGTCTTTCTTCTTACATCTTCAAGTTTTCTCTCTTCTAACCTACCCCATCCCAATTTGAAAACTCTCCGCAGGTCCCAGCACTAAGATTAACCACTCTATTCACCATGTATCACACTCAGCTGAAGCTTCTGTAAGTCCGACCTCGGTGACAACCCTAAGCCATTCGAAATCTAATTTCAAACCACGAAAGCCGATCTAATTACCTGTCTTCAATGTTCGCACATTGAAGCAAGCAAGACAACAGGTGGCTCTTGTTCGTTTGCGAGATTCCCTCAGCAGTGGCGTACGCTGTCTGTCAAAGACAAGAATTAGGGAGGGAAGGATT